TCCTGCACCTCTTTTTCTACGGAATGACCCCTGTGCATATGAATATTTATCTAGCGATTTTTTAAAAAAATTGTTTCTAAATTGCCCTGTGTGTTTTGTGTAGATTATTCCTGTCAGTGCAAACTTTTAGCATCAGAACGGGAAAGGCTGTGGCGGTAAGCGAGGTGGAGGCACCCGTCTAGCTCTGGGCCAAGTCAGCAGGGATATTTGTAGCATTGACATTTCCCAATTTATAATTATCAACATTTTGTTACATTCCCTTCTCCTCTGAGTTTGTGTTCTGACTCGTTTGTTATCAGAGGCGGTTTAGAACAACTGCAGAAGGCTTCTCGCATAGCAAAAAAAGAAGAAGATGCGGTAATTCGAAGTGTAAGATCTGTTGACCTACTTCAGAATTGCCGATAGCTAATAAAGGAATGTCCCTTCTGTGAAAACGTATGCAACAGTCCTGCTAGTTTTTAGAAAGATTTGTTGTTGTTGTTCAGTCACACAGTCGAGTCCGACTCTTTGCGACCCCATGGACCAGCTCCCGCCAGGCCCTCCTGTCTTCCGCCGTCCTCTGAAGTTGGCTCAATTTCATGTTCGTTGTATCTATGACACTGTCTAACCATCTCATCCTTTGCCGTCCCCGTCTTCTTTGACCTTCAATCTTTCCAAGCATCAGGGTCTTCTCCAGTGAGTGCTCCCTTCTCATTGGGTGGCCAAAGTATTTGAGCTTCAGTTTCATTATCTGGCCTTCCAGGGAACAGTCAGGGTTGATTTCTTTTAGGATTGACTGATTTGATCTTCTTGCAGTCCAAGGGACTCTCAAGAGTCTTCTCCAGCACCATAGTTCAAAAGAATCTATTCTTCGGCGCTCGGCCTTCCTTATAGTCCAACTCTCGCAGCCATACATGACTACTGGGAATACCATTGCTTTGACCATGCGGACTTTTGTTGGCAGGGTGATGTCTCTACTTTTTATCATGCTGTTTAGGTTCGCCATCGCTTTCCTCCCAAGGAGCAGGCGTCTTTTAATTTCATGGCTACTGTCACAGTCTGCGGTGATCTGGGATCCCAGGAACGTGAAGTCTGTCACTACTTTCACGACCTCCTCTTCTATTTGCCAAGGAGAGATGGGGCCGGATGCCATGATCTTAGTTTTTTTGATGTTGAGCTTCAAGCCCACTTTTGCACTCTCCTCTTTTACCCTGAGCAGGAGGCTCTTTAGGTCCTCTTCCCTTTCTGCCATTAGAGTGGTATCGTCTGCATATCTGAGGTTGCAGGTAAAATGGATTGTGGCCATTGTGCCCAGAAAGCAAAATATTGAGCATAATCCAGACAAGATTAAGCCCTTCCATATCCCATTGATTTAATTGGAAGAGGTTATATGCATGCGCATAATCTGAAACCAGTGGGCATGCTCAACTTCTGTGAACTATCATTGCCCTCTTTGAATTCTTTGAATTCATGCTTTCTTCCCTATTTTAATGGGTGAATAAGCACTCTGATTTATATTGATGAGGGAGAAGCTACTGTTTAGCCCCAATTTTTTACGACACTTTATTGAGGAAAGTTGTCCTGTGTTACAGAGCTGACAGACCTCACAGGTGTGAAACCTACCTAGGACTGGGTCAGGTGAAGGAATAAACACAGAATTGCCTCTGGAGCAATCACTGTTTTGGCAAGCCATAAAAGCCTTCCTTACGAGTGATGATCCTCCTGGCATCGATCCGCGCTGGAACTTCTCCTGTGATCCAGCTCGGCTGATTCCACCATCTAACGAGTGCCAGAAACAGATTTTAGTGGGGATAATCGACTCCACCCAAAGTTGCATGATCAGCTACCTGCCCCAGCAAGACCCTCTGCTTCTACTGGGAATGCAGTTCTTTCTGGCTGCATCAACAGATTTTCATCACCTTCCGTAGGTGGCAGGCAATAAAGAAAGGAAGGAAAGACACATGTCGTGTGTGTGTCCCCCGCCCAGCCATTCCATTGTAGGCTCAGTAGGGGCAAACTCTTCTTCGTTTCTGTGCAAGTGACTGTATGAAGCTTCCTCAGATCATCAATTCATGTACGTTAATTTATGTTCATTAATTCATGTACACTGGTATTAGTTCCTCTGACTGCAAGCCGCTTTCTCAGGTCTTAGGCAGAGTTCTTTGCCAGCTCTGCTGCTTGAAACTCTTTTAATTGGAGATCACAAGGACTGAACTTTGGACTTTTGGCACGCAAAGAACATGATGAACAACTGAGCTACAGCCTATTCCCATAGGCTTCCACTAAACTTGGAGACATACTGGCTTGTGTCCATCAAAGATGTCTGTCCCTGTTCAGCGATGGTACAGTTTCCCTGCTTCCAAAGTCTTCTCCATTTGTTTAAATGGAGAGTGCTCATCTCTCCACACTCCAGAGTGCATTTTCAAGTGTTTGAGCAGGCAGGGCCGGCCCCAGCTTATTTTGCACCCTAGGCAAGGATCCCTTCTGGCGCCCCTCATGCCCCCCCCCCCTGCGCTCCCCCTGGTCAGAGCCAGCGGGGGGCAGGTGCAGTTTGGCGCACCTCGTCAGGGCACCCAGAGAAGAGGCTGACTGGCAGAGCACTCGTCACAAGCCGTCGCTCCCCTGGCCCTGCTGCTGCAGCTGCCAGTCCCTGGCTGTGAGGAGGAGGAGAAGCACTCCGCTGGGAAGCCGAGGGGGCAGGCAGGGAGAAGGTAGCCAGCCAAAGAGGAGGCAGGTGGCGGCAGGGGTCACCCAGCCGTGGAAATGCAGGGCTTTTGGTGTTTGCAGTTTGGCGCCCCAAGGGCCGGCACTCTCTAGGCGAATGCCTAGTTCGCCTAGTGAGCGAGCTGGCCCTGTGAGCAGGCTAAGTTCAGCATGGTGTAGTGGTTAAAGTGTTGACCTGGGTTGGAATCCCCACTGTGGCAGAAAAACTTGCTGAGTGATCTTGGGCCAGGCACCGACTTCACAGGGTTGTTGTGGGGATAAAACAGAGGAGAGGAGGAGGATGTAAGCCACTTTGTATCTTTACTGGGGAGAAAGGTGGGATATCAATAGAATAAACTACATTTTTCAACTCTGCTTCACTGATTTCTGCAGATAAATAATGCAGGTGATCCCAGAACTGCAGCGGTTTTCAGTATAGCAGCCAGGTTGTTCACTGGGACACTCCACCCAGAATATATTATTTCCATGTTTAAAGATCTGTTTTGACTTCCCCCTTTTCTCCCCCAGAGTACTGGTTTTTATCCAGAAAGCTCTAAACAGCTTCAGAGTAGGGTGCATGAAGGGCCATCCACTCCCATGTAAACCTGCCCATTCTCTGAGATTGTCTTTGAGATCCTGCTCTCAGAATCCAGACAGGCAGTGATTAGAAGTAGGGCCTTTTCAGTGGCAGCACCTTTCTGGTTGAATATCCCTGCTGGAGCTATTGGTAGGGTAGGGCATCCACACTATTATCTTTAGGGCCCAAAGCCTAAACAATTATATTTTGCTTGGTATTTGGATGATCCTTTGTTAACGTTTCCCTCTGCTTTTCATTGCTGGCTTGTTTTATTTGAGGCGGTGTTTGTGTTTTTAGGAAGGGTTTGGATTTTTATGTCGATGTGTTCAAAGTATGTGAGCTACTTTGTGGGCTTATTAAGCACAAAAGCAGGCTGTACGTTTGAAAAATAAAACAAGCAGATGTGATTTTTAAACAAGACAGCCATTTAGTTTTACGCATTTGGAAGAGCTTAGTTTTTCAAATCTAGGAATATCAATTATTTTAAGTAGTTGCTAATCCAATTAATTTAAAATGGTGATGGCTGTTCCAAGAGAGTGGAGGGAAGGAAACCCTAAACTTGATAAAGCTTCTGGAAACAGCTCCTTTTTTCACTGGCTGAAAATCCTGTTTGACCAACAGACTCTGATTGTAGGCTCCGCGGTCCTTCAAACACCTTCATTCCTCTTTATTCCCACTGCACAGCTAGAAATGTAAAATTTCCGGAAATTTTGAAGCTCGGCAAAAACCCGTTTGGTTTTTTTCAGGGAAAAAATTGAAATTTTCGGAAAAAATTGGAAAAAATGCTACATTAGCACTTCTTTTTTCTTTTCCAGATTGAAAGTCATTCTGTTACGTTAGGAACATAAAATACGACTATGGACATTTTTACCATAATCATTTTTTTCTTTTTTCCATTTTTCCAATTTTTTTGGGAAAAAATGGTTCCCCCCCCCCAATTTTTCCGGTCCCCCCCCCCCGGGCCTTCACATCTCTATGCACAGCTTCTGCAAACGTTTGTGCATCTGGGAGGGAAAGGGTTGGCTGAATCTCCAGTGCCAGGGATGCACTTATATCATTCTAGACCCGGGATTTAAAGAATTTATGGGAGGAGGTTCCCTCTTTAAATGGTAATATACACTTGCAAAGCTACAGCCTAGTTTTGTTGGCCTCTGCTGAGCCCATTTATTATTGGCTTGTTTAGAAAATGCATGTGCTGCCTGTTTAGATACCTGCTGGAGACCGCTTACATGTACATTCAGTACACTAAAATCATACCAATGACAGAATAAATTATCAGTATTATAAACGAGCCATTGAAAATACTTTTTGCCCCAAAGTCCAGACTTACTACCACCACTGAGCATTTCCATTTAAATTTTACTGAAACATGCCTCCCTCCCATGTCTTTATGTTGCCTTATATCTCTTTGGAAAGATTGGGAAGCCAGGCTGATACATCTCTTGCTTTTTTATGGGGGAGGTTACAACCAGGCTGACATGATACACCTTTGGCCAAACTTTTCTCTCTTGCAATGATGTATTTTCCAATGTTGGTTCCAAACTCCAGGGTTCTTATTTAACTAATAAGATGGCTGTTTCATTCTTCTAAACCTGCATTCTGCATCACCAACACTTGGAAGTAATGTCTCTTGAAACTGATGGGCCTCAATTCCAAGGAAATGCCCAGGATTCCTGTCACCTTTTTCTTGTGTCTTATTGCATTGCCATATTTAGTATTCGTTTTCTCTCTTCCTCTACAGGAAGTCCAGTCTCCATCTTTGAAACTGTCCCCATATTCCCAGGGCACTGTCCGGAGGATTATATTAGAGAATCCTGAACAGGTAAGAAAATCAGTTCATTGCAACTGTCATTTGCACAGTCCTTGTGCGTGCAATCTTGTGTGTTCAGGGCAGCATGCATAGAATTGAAGCAGGACCAAGAATGCTGGCCTCACTTGTGACTGGCTTTACCCTTTGTCTGCAAGTATCTGCCCAACAAACTATATGTGAGTGGGCTTTATTCACATGATCAGTAATCAAAAGGCAGTGATCCCTGGGAGGGAGTCTATCCATGCTTGGTTTATATGCACACGAGTGCTGTGCCTACATGAACCAAGAGTGTGTAGGTGGGGCCCGTGTGCTTGATCATGAGAGTGGTGTGGAGTCCGCCTCCTCAGTCCTGTCCACCCCACCTGTGGTTGTTAGCTATGCATGCAAATATGTTGTGTGTTCAGGGCTGCAGTCCATTTCTAAAAGGGGGATTAAATCTCTTGGGAGTTGGTGTGCTTGATAAGTGAAATTAGATTCTTCAGCATTTTGCTTCCAAAGTGGTTGAACTCACATTTCACTGTTTTTGTTTGGTGCGAGCGATATTAAGACTTTCTGGTGTAACACCTTGCTTTTGAGTTCCAATTGGGGCCACTTCATTGTTTCTTAAATGTAGCTGGGTTTAGAATTGGGCATTTATGTTGGTGCCTTTGAAAAGCCTTTGGGAACCAGAATGGGTCGAGAACCCAGAGGCTGGGTGGTTAAAAGGGGCCCCGGTCACACGGAAGGTTTTGGCCCGCGAGAGGGACGGATCGGGGGCGCAGCAAACCGGCGCGAGCACACCGCAACATCTGGGAATCGGCGTGCACCCGTCCCCGATCCATCCCTTCAAGCCTAAAGCACGCATCAAAAAAGAACCTGCAAAAGAGCAGGACTTACCTGGAACGCCGCAGCAAGCGTGGCCGTGGGATAGCCGGTGCGCTCGTCTTCGGTAGCAATCCAGGCTCCCGGCCGAACTGCGCAAGCGCACACATGCGCAGTTTGGCTGCCTCGCTCTTTCTTCAGTGGCTTCCCCCCGGCATCTGATCGTGCCGGGGAGGAACTGCGCGGCGGCTCAGGGGATCTGTGTGATCCCGCCGCCGCGTGTCTCTTTTGGTGCGGCTTTCAAAAGCTACACTTTGCCCGCAGCAATTTCCCCCCGTGTGGCAGGGGCCAGGGTTTGCTTCAGTGAGCATATTTTTATACTATACAAAGTCCTCTGCCTCCCAGGTTCCAGGCACTGTTCAAAGTTTTGACATTAAAAATTGCTGAACAGTCCAGGACCAGGGCACATGGAGAATGTGTTGTCAATTGTTTGTTTTCCTTATTTTAATGTTGATTTTTTTTTTCCATTTGTAGTTTTATGTTTCATTGAACTTGTAAGCAACCTTGAATGCCTGGGAGGATGGAAACACATATATACATATACATATATACACACACACACACACACACACACACACACACACCAGTTTGGTGTAGTGGTTAAGTGCACAGACTCTAATCTGGGAGAACCAGGTTTGATTCCCCACTTCTCCACTTGCACCTGGCTGGGTGACCTTGGGCAAGCCGTAGTTCTGATAAGAGCTGTCCTTGAAAAAGAGCAGTTTCTGGCAGAGCTCTCTCAGCCCCACCTACCTCACAGGGTGTCTGTTGTGGGGAGGGGAAGGGAAAGGAGTTTGTAAGCCACTCAGAGAAAACCTTTGGGTAGTGAAGGGCGGGGTATAAATCCAATCTCTTCTCTTCTTCTTCTTTCCAAGTAAATAAATAATAGCTGTACCGTTCAGTGAAAACCAGTTGTTTTGTATTTCCAGGAGCCATTGTCTCCACTTCTAAGAGGGGGAAATAATGTGATAATTGAAAAAACAGTAAGAAAGTATGAGCTGCTAAATCCAGAGCAGGTAAGAGGTTTTTTCTTTTTAGATTTTTTTTTTGGCCAATAAAAATTGTGGTTTTATTCTCTTGATAGACTTTTGGCTGAGTGGGAGCTAATCAAAGAAGTTAGCGGCTGTGTGTGTGTGGCTGGCAGTAAGGGTCGGCACTGTTGAGCAGATACCAAGGCCTCATTGCCTTTGGAGGGGGTACCATTGTGTAGCTGCAGTGCTCGCAGCTTATTCTTTCTCTCAGGGTGGACCAGAAGGGGTGGTATTGGACCCCCTGGGAAGGATTGGACCTGGCCACCCTCCATACCCCCTCTGTCTCCTTCCCTTCCCTTCTCACTTAGCCAAAAGACACTCAACTGTGGTTGCTGCATCCCACTGAGTCCTGTTCACACACCTGCTGGAGCCAACCGTAAGGCAGGGGTGTCAAACATGTGGCCCGGGGGCCGGATCAGGCCCCCCCCAGAGGGCTTCTCTCAGGCCCGCAGTGGAACTGGCTGTCTTCTGCTTCTTCTTCCAGTTCTGCTGCTGCTGCGTCATCGTAGGTTTGCAGCTTACAGATACACACCTGAACAGCATACTCAAGAGTCCAACAGCACAGACATTTTGATGCAATAATTCAGAGCAAGAGGTGTCAGTTACCAGACACTGTTAAATAAACAGAATATTGCAAGAGTGCTGATGTTTTAAAGTAAAAAAAAGTTTATATCTCCGCTGCCTGGCATTACGTTTTATGACACACATGGCCCGGCCTAACAAGGTGTCCTTTACTTCAGATCCGGCCCTCATAACAAATGAGTTCGACACCCCTGCCGTAAGGGCTGTCTGGAGCAGCTGCCATCCACCAGGGCTGCATCTGCCACTTCTAAAGTCTTGTTGACCTGCATAGGTTGAGTGAAAAGCATTGGCAACCATGAACAGCAGCCAGCAGCTTCTCTGCCCTCTCTGTCTGTGTGGCAGCTGTCTTGGAAGGGGTCGCGCTGGACAGGATCTTGCTAAGAACCCCTGAAGCCTAGATCTAGCCCTGTGTGCGTGAACCACTAAAGGGGCCTGTTTCCCAGATTGCTCCCCTCCCCCTTTCCATTAATCCCTGCACCTCTGGACACAAAGGCAGCACCACCTGTTTCTCTCTGGCTACAGGAGGAGGGTGGAGATGGAGGGAGAAACACTCGCTCAGCGGCACAGAAGGCTCAGTGTCGTTCCTGCAATGAGCGCTGTCTGCAGAGCAGATGAACAAAAGCCTTCCTTTGAAAGGCCTGAATTAATAGTGTCGTTGTGCGTGCTTAACTTCCCAGAACGATAGAAAGGTCTTTTGCATGGAGTTAGTTTCCTTGTACGGGAGATCGGTGACATTGTTGTGCTGTTTGCTTACGGAGTGGAAGGGGAAGTGGAGTGGACAGGTGGGGCTAAGCTTTAAAGCAGCGTTATACAAAAGCAGCAGCACAGCCTTGGTGTCGCCACAACAATCCTTCCTTGCCATTTGGCTGCAGGGACTCCGGGTAGTCAGGAACGGAGAGCCAGGCTAACTGATCCAGCCGCTTCCTCCCTGAACATTGGCTGTGATGGCCTGGCTTTGCTGCATAGAGGGACAGCAGCTTAGGCCACAGCTGTTCAGCAAGCAGCCCTGACTACTAAAGCAGATGGGACCAGAAAGACCTATCCAAAGATTGAGTCCTGGCATCTACCCACCAACCCTATAGCCCAGTGGTCCCCAGCAGGGGGCCCACGGACACCATGGAGCCTGCCAGCACCTTTTCTGGCACCCGCCCAGTGTTTTAAAGAAGTGGGTGGGATCAGGTAGGGCTTTTGCCCAGCAAGCCTTCTGAATGGCCATCGGAGATTTGAGTGGCTGTGCAGATTTTTTTAAATGTTGCTTTGTCAGCAACTGCCACCACAGTACAAGGATTTGCACTGCGTTCCTGAAGCTGCAGCAATAATTTGTGGCTGACTCCGCCTCCTGTGGCAGCCATTTTGTCGCTGCACCCACCATACATTCCAAATGTGCCTGCGGGCTCAAAAAGATTGGGGACCTCTGCTGTAGCTGGTCTCAAGATGGTCTCAGATTCCTGGATTTCCATTTTGAATGAGCCAAATCTGCTGCAGATAAGCGAGCTTGAAAAAGCCAGAACCAAGAGAGCAAGGAAATGCCTTGGACTCAGCCCGTTCTTCTGTACTGGAGTCAGTTTGAAGGCTGACTTGGAGGGGGATGCCCCAGAGGACATTTTCCAGCCCTTGGTCAGTCCGTTGTCAGAGGAAGCTGAGGAAACAGTAAAACATTATTTATAATATGAAGTGGGTAAATTAACTGTTAATTGATAAGTTTTGTGCTAGAACCTATGATGAACCGTTCAGAGATTTTTTCTATGAATGTAAATGGACTCAATGAACCTTTGAAAAGGCACAGATTTTTTTATAAATTAAGAAAAGAAAAAGCAAATATAATCTTCATTCAAGAGGCTCATATCAAGAAATGCAATAACTATCTTCTGCACTTTCCTAAATTAGGGGAGGAATATGTGGCTTCTGGTCCAAACAATGAGGAGTTATTTATATTAAAATTGATGGTATTTTGGCTGATTCCGCAGGTAGTTATTTATGTATAAAAGTTGTCTTTAAGAAATAAAAAATAGCAGTTAAGGTGTATTTTTCAAACACTAAAAAGATAATTTTTAAAATAATGAAATAACTAGAGTTCTTGGTTCATTTGTAGATGGTGCACTTATCATGGGTGGAGATTTTATTTTAGGCATACATGAATAATAATCCAGATAGATTGTGTAGGAGTGATAAGGGAAATGAGAAAGCATTGGTAAATCTAAAGAAGAAAATTAATTAAACAATTTCAGTTTGTGGATGTTTGGCAAATGTCGAATCCTGAGAAAAGAGACTACACCTTTTTCTCAGCAGCTCATAACACATATTCTCATATAGACTTCTTTTTGATATCTAGATAACGTATAGGTTTTATAAAAGCTACAACTGAAACAATGTCTTATGCAAACCGTGGCCCTATAATGCTGAGTTTGCTATTTGATAAATGTAGATAGGTTATGGTACTTAGACAATGAATTAATAAACAATTTAAGAATAAGGGGAAAATGCAGAAGGATCTACAAGATTTTTTTATTATAAATAATAATTCAAGTGTTTCCCCAGTAATTATTTGGGAGGCTGGCAAAGCTTTTTTCCCCCCAAAGGTTTAGCTATAAGTACCATAGAGAGAAAGAGGTAAAGATTCATAAAGATAAACTAAAGAAACTTGAAGAGAAGCAAAGACCATAGCTTTCAAACACTGAAATAGTTTAAAGGAGTTCAGAAAAACCTTTAGCGGAGTATGAATTTGAAAGAGTTAATAAAAATTTGATCTTTCCCCGCCAACACTTTTTTTGAATGGAGTAATAAAGCCTACAAGCTAGGCTTCAACAGTACGTGTCCAACACTTTTTTTGAATGGAGTAATAAAGCCAACAGATTTCTTGCATTTAAATTAGGGTTGCCAACCCCCCCGGTTTGCCAGGGGTCCCCCGTTTTTTGGGGGGGGTTCTACCCGCTGCCGGCCAGATGACCAGCGGGGGAAGCCCCACCCCCAACACCCACAGCCACCCCTCTCTCTCCCTTTAAGTGTGTGGAACTCGTGTTTCCTCCCAAGCCTGTGTTTCCTCCCAAGCCCAATCTCCGCTTGAGATGAGGCTTGCAGGGAAATGCCAGCTTTGTGCATTTAAAAGGGAAACCCAGCTGCTCTTAAAGGGGAAACGCCGGCTCCTGCTCTTAAAGGGGAAATGCCAGCTCCTTTAAGTGCAGGGAACTGCTGTTTCTGGCGGGTGGGTGGGTGGGGGGGCGGACGTCCCCAACGTGACGTCATCACGTCAGGGATGCCCCGCCCCCTCCAGGAACGCCCCCAAAGTCCCCCGCTGGGGGTGGAAGATGGACTTGGCAACCCTAATTTAAATTAAGATAAAAGGGAGGCAAATATAATTACAGCTATTAGAAGCAAGCAAGGTAAGACTGTAAATAAATTTAAGGAGATTATAAAGGAATTTGAGGAACTTTATGATTTATATTCCTCAAAGAATCCTCATTTAAGTAAAATTAACAGCTCTGTCTCTAAATTGAAGATACCTTAAGCTATCAAAGGAAGAGAAAGATGTTTTAAATCAGTTTTTGCACATAAACGAGATTAAGGAAGATGTTAAGAAATTTTTGAAGAATAAAACTCCAGGGTTTGATGGAATTACACCTGAATTCTATCAGTGGTTCATAGAAGTGGTGGTAAACCCTTTCTTAGTGGCTATAAATTATTACCAGTATCATGGACTGAATAAAAAATGATAGTAATCTTGAAACCAGGGAAGGACTCGTTATCTGTAGGCTCACATAGACAGATTAGCCTACTAAATTATGACTATACAAGGGGGGGACCCGCGATACTCGCGGGAGAGGGGGAACTCCACAACTATGAGGAAGAGGAGGAAGCAGCAGGAGGAGGTAAGTTCCCCCCCTATCCCGCCGGTTCTCCTATCTCCTCCACCCCCTGGCTCAATTACCCCCCCACTACAGCAGGAGACGCTCTTGCACTTTCGGGGGGATTTAAACATCCCCCCGAATTTTTTTTTAACTTTTTTTATTTTTGTGCACACGTGGGGATTGGCCCACGTGTGCACAAACCTCCCCCGGCCCCCCAGCTGCCCCCTCCGTGCTGATTTAAGTATCCGCACGGAGGGGGCAACTTGGCTATTAGTATAAGGATGATAATTACCTCGATATTAGCAAAACATTAAAGGGCCTTATGTATTCATGAAGATCAATCAGGATTTATTCCCGGATGTTTAGCAACAACAACTATTAGGATACATATTAGTTTAAGTCATGTAAAATATCCGAAGGCTACATTCCTTTTCCTGGATGCAGAAAAAGCACTTGATTCATTCAAACATAATTTTCTGTTGAAATGTCTCAAGATCTTTGGGTGTGGCTATCAGTTCAACATGTGGGCTCAAATTATATACATGACCTCTTCAGCATATTTGTCTATTCATAATGTCATTTCAAGATCTTTCCCACTAAATAGAGGGGTAAAAGAGGGATGACTACTGTCAGCTCTATTGTTTAATCTGTATATTGAGGTCCTAGCATTAGCAATAAGAGGCTCAGATCTAGTGTCTGATTTGAAAATAGGAACCCCTCTGTACAACATAATGCTATTTGCAGATTATACTGTAATTTTCTTAACAAATATCCAGCAATCTAGTAACCACCTAAGTATTATCTTTCGTTCATTTTTGGAAGTTTCAGGATGTAATAGTAATGCTGACAAAACTGTGATAATGCCATTTAATAGAGCATTATTGAAAGGAGATCCTTCAAATTGGTTAAAAAAGACAAGGATGATAGATAGTCATGTCTCTTATTTAGGTATTAAGATAGGATACCTCAAAAAGATTGAAGATAATTTTAACCCAGTAATTATTGACATTCAACAAAAACTCTCAATATGGAAAATATTTTATCTATTTTAGGACAGATAAATGGTATTAAAATGATAATTCCCAAAATCTGGATTAGATTCTAAAAAGAAAAAAAAATAGGCAGCTGTAGATGTTCCCTCTGTTCTGTCTATCACACATGGACCACTTTGGGCCCAAGTGACTCAAAAGAACTAGCAGAAAGGCTTGTAGCACTTAAGGCTTCTTATTTAAGGGTATTAATATTTTTCAGTTGCCCAGTGCACAGTGAATAGGTTGGGGTAACACTGTGAGAGACGTGAGCATGACGCACGACTATTTCCTTTTAGGAGAAACAGTACCAGTATGCCCAGCAGCACACGCAGTCCGACCAATATCAAGTCAACCAGCCAGTGGAACATGTTACGGTGGTCCAGCAGTGCCAGCAGACTCAGACGGGCAGCCCGTGTGACGTGACTCCTATTCGCGTCAATGATGGTGGAAACAACACTGTGAGGAGAGTCACCGTTCAGACCTGTGACCCGGTATGACACATACTTTCTATGTTTCATTGTTTCACAGTGGTGGTTTTCTTCTTTTTTTGGGGGGGGGGAAGCATTCATTCTTGGAGCTAATCTTGTGGGAGGATATGAATGTCTAGGCAGTAAAAGAGGTGGCATTCTGAAGTTTTGAGGAAATACATCTGTCGAGGTGATAAAACAGTAGATTGAATGCCTCTCACCCTTTTTTAATAGTTCTCTGACCATGCTATCATAAAACAGTAGATTGAATGCCTCTCACCCCTTTTTTAATAGTTCTCTGACCGTGCTATCGTAAGTAGAGTTATACCCTTCTGAGGCCATTGGAGTTAGTGATTAACTTCATCTCTAGGTTGTCTTTCTTACTGAGACTCAAGGTGGAAGTCAGCGGGCGCAGAAGGGTGTAGCTCTGGATGGCACTGGAAGTCATGTTATAATATTCTTCCTGTCCAGACATAGGAATTGCCTTTTTGGATATTTTGACCCATCTAGTCCAGTGTTCTGTTCTCCGTAGATAGTTAGATGCTTCTGGAAACGTGCAGGCAGCATACTGTGGTGACTCTCCTTTGTCTACTCCTGGTTCCCTGGCACATAGAATCTATCCGTCTCTGGTTTGGATTCCTTGATATACGGATGCAAGGATCCTGGGTCTTCCTTGCTTTCTGCTCCCTAGGCAGCCCTTTCCAATCCTGGGAAAATTTATTCCCCAGGTGATGTGGTTCCTGTGTGGATGGCTCAGGAGGCTGCGGTGAGGAAGGGGAAGGGGACAAAAATTCTCCGTGGTCCTCTTCCACCCACAGAGCTCTGCTGATGGAAGAGGCCGAAAGGGTGGTTTTTATCCCTTCTCCCCACTGCAGTGTCCTGGCCCATGGGTCCCACAATCCCAGGCACAGACTTTCCCGGGACTGCTTTAGGAAAGGGAAATGTGAGATAGATCTCTGATGGTCAGCTCCTTCTGCCGATAGATCACAGGTCCCAGCCCTCTATCTCTGCTGTCACCTTTCCTAAAATTTTGCCCTGTGGATGTACCTTTTGTAGATTGGTTAGAATGAGCGGTGTCTGCCCCGGCAGGGCCTCTGGCAGTCTGTTGACCTGACCTCTAAATTCCTCCAAAGTCAAAAGTCAAAACACAGTTTGTCTCGGGAGTCTGAAACAAAGGGAAATCGATGGGACTTAAGCACCTGTAATTGTATCTTGGTGTCAAGCCAGCAAGCACCAGAATCCTTAAATGCTCTCTGTCTGGTCTGGAGGGATGCATGTGCTATATTTCGAAGCCAGAATCTGAGCCTGTCTTCACCCCTGATGTGGATTCTTGTACACAAAAACCTCAGCACTTGTCAACGTGCATTCCTACAGAGATCCTGGGAACTGTGTCTGTGTCGGGACATGGAGAGATCTCTCTGGCTTCCATCTCATACATCTACAGTCCCCAGGATTTGCTCGTAGTGAAGCTGTAGCAATGAATGCACAGGATCTGCTGACACATAACACGGTGACCTTAAAAGTGTCTTGGAGAGAGTTTAGGGAGGATGACGCTGTTTTTAGTAGGGTTGCCAAGTCCTACCTGCATAATAGCGAGGGAGTCCAGCGGGAGTTTTTTCGCGTGCGCGCAAACCACGCACGACGCAATGACATCACCCAGAAGTGACGTTATCACGCCCGGAACGTCGCCGGGCAACGCTCTAGCAATCAGCCTAAAAACTCTGTGGTACCATAGAGTTTTCAGGCTGACTGCTAGAGCATCGCCCGGTGACGTGCCCAGCATGATGATGTCACTTCCGGGTGACATCATCGTGCTGGGCACGTCAGCCCGATCTGGCCACTTTGGGGGTTGGGTTCCCCTGCCGGCAGGATCCAGACCAGCGGGTTGGGGGCCTTTTTGGCGGGAACCCCCCCCTGGGGGGGGGACCTGGCAGCCCTAATTTTTAGTTATTTATTTACTTCATTTATCGCCTGGCTGTGAGTCGAGGCGGTTTTGCAACTAGAAGCAGTGCAGTAAGAACAGTCTAATAGGACCATCTATTCATTTATAAACCTGCCTGACCTGTATGGTCATCCTCAGAGGTCCTGCTTTGGATGCCCTTGCCTTCTGAAATTAGGTAGGTGACAGCCTGGTAGGGGGCCTTCACAGTCGTGGCACCAGAGGGACTCGTCTGTCCCTTTCTGTTGCTTGAAGGCTTTTGTTTGTTTGCCTTCCTTCAGTGATCCCTCCTTCCGGTATTTTAATTGCTTTTATGTTTTGGTATGTACTTTTACTCTGGTTTTGCTTTCATGATGTGTTCTTGTTGGATTTAATGGTTTTTAAGATAGGAATTTATTATGTATGTTTTAATTTTTAGCTGTGTTTGTGGTCATTATGAGGGAAGGCAGGGCATACATTTGTAAAATGAGTGAAAATAAATAAACAATAAAGGTAAAGGTCTCCCTTGCTCGAAAGCCAGTCGAATCCGACTCTAGGGTCGCGGTGCTCATCTCCGTTTCAAAGCCGAAGAGCCAGCGCTGTCCGAAGACGTTTCCATGGTCATGTGGCCGGCATGACTAAACACCAAGGCACACGGAACGCTGTTACCTTCCCACCGAAGTGGTACCTATTTATCTACTTGCAATTTCTTGCTTTCGAACTGCTAGGTTGGCAGGAGCTGGAACTAGAGACGGGAGCTCACTCCGTCATGCGGCACCCGGGTCTTGAACTGCTGAACTACCGACCTTCCACAGCCTGCAGTTCAGCGTCTTAACCACTTGAGCCACCGCAGCTCCTCAATAATCAATACATACAACAAATAACCTCGGAGGTAAAGGCACTAAAAAAGACAGTGTAGTAGAGACAATACTGCAGGAATACAAGGCTGGAGAGCAACGCAGCACAGCATTATATTACAGACAAAATTAAGTCCTTTCCTTTCATTTATTAGCTTCATTGACCAGAGGTCTTAAGCCAAACATACAATCAGCTACTATAAAACACATTACATATAATTACAAGATAATTTAGACCAAACATTTTTACAATAAAAACTAATAAACATACTCATGAACAATATTAATAGACAACATTTTATAGACTTCCTTAAACCCTATAAAATCCCATGATATTATTGAAATTATAGACTTCCTTAAACTCTATAAAATCTATTATGGAAATTAGTTTTAGAATTTTAAAAAATTGTATCCCTAAAACTACCTACGGCATTTCAAAGCCGCTTTAAAAATAGCACTATCGATAGATATTTTGACACCGAGCGAGTCGTTTCAGGGTCCTCATCTGCTAGCAGTATGGTTATTACCCAAGGTTCCATAGGGAGGTGATGTCTATGTGAAATAGGAGTAACCCAACAGGATCTGGGGCCAATCCACTGGTGGCAAAATAACAGAAGATGATCTAAGGTCTCTGTTGCACGTGATCCACAATCGCATAATCTATTTGAATACTGTTTTTTTAGCAAAACGGCCATTTAGCTCTGCAGTTGGAAAAAACATAAAATTAAGTCAAAAAGTTACAGGACAAAGCAGTATGAAATAAAATATTCAATAAAGATTGCTTAGAATTCCACAGACATTAACTACAACATTATTCACTTGAGAACATTGTTGATCTGAACCATTCTGCTTTATAAATTCTTTGGTACAGTGAGTTCATTGGAGCTCTTAGTCATGTTGGTTAAATGGAGCCTCCAGCTTCAGAGGCAGTGTACATTGTGGCTTCAGTTTGTAGGAAGTGAATAGTGGGATGAAGGTGAGCTGTTACCTCCTTGCCATGCTTGTGGACTTCCCAGAAGCCACTCTGGGAAACAGGATGCTGGGTAGGAGGAAGGCCTGGTCCAAGATAACCATACTCTTACGGTCAAGCCAATTCTTCTGAATTCATAATGCAGGCGTTGTTTCCGTGGCTCTCCCCGCCCCCCATTTGTAGGCAAGAGATTGCTAAGAAATAGGATATGCTGCTTTTCAGACAGGTTTGTGGCTGACTTGGCTTTTTAAAAAAAATTAAAAACCCGATTTAACTGCTGAGGTTGCACTGTTTGTAGCTTGCAGGACCGTGCTTTGCTCCCAGTTTCTTTGCTGATGATATCAGGCCTTAAGTCACCACATCCATTTCTTTGCTTCTGGGAAAAGTCAGGCAAATTTTTGTACATGCTGTGGCAGCATAAGGCCTTGTCAGCAGCAAATTAAGCAGTGAAATGTAATGGGCGGAGCACAGAGAGAGAGAGAGAGAAGGCTGGATCCCAGTTATGTGAACTGTGCTCAAGACTCTTGGCTCTGGGGGCTGGGGCTTCCAAGAAATTGACTGTACATTGTGGGAAAGCTAGGACTGAAGCTTGTGGCTTAGCCAAGCCTGCTTGGGGTGTGTGGGGGGGGGCAACTCAAGACGAGCCGCTTTCTCCTGTTAACCAAGTGTCAGAAATGCAAAGTGTTTATCTGGCTGAGCTTGTTTTGTGAGGTCTTGCAGGTTCGGCAAGCAAAGTGCAGTCGCAGGCCCTGCCTGACTTCAGTCTTGCATGGAATGCTTTTCTTTTTCCTAGAATCCTCATGGTCTACCTATGCAGGGGTTTTTATTTAAGTTAAAAATAAGGACGCTCAAACATCTGCTGGTTGGACTTACGTCCTGTTCACCAGTAGCATGAAAGGAACCAGTTTTTCGATGGACTCTTTCTTACCCTGTTTATGGCTATCTGCCAGTTTACTTAATTGCATTTATTGGCTATTTGTGCATGCCTGTTCTCACACAGCCCAGATGAGTTTTACTCTACTCCCTCCTTGCTGTCGCTGCTCCAGTCAGTAGAAAATGATTTAAATTGTTAAATCAGTTGTAGATTTTTTTAAAACAGTGTTTGTAACTGTTTTATACAACCCCTCGCCACGCCATCCAGTATTAGTCCTTAGCAACCTTAACGGCTGCTAATCTGTTTGGATTGGCAGTGTTTTCATGCATATGCAGTTTCAAAGGAAGCTGTTTGGCAGTCATTTGGTAACAAGCAAAACAGACCAGGTGACCAGCTCAGGTGTGGTCATCATCCTCATGATCCGCTACAAGGTCTACAGCGGCCAGGACGAGCACAAGAAGGCCAGGGTCAGCAACGTCTACTCCCAGACCAACGGGAGCCAGCCCCCTCCCGCCCCCCTGCCCTGCTCGGCCTCCAAGCCCGAGGAATGGGGGGCAGACCCCTCCATGGCGGGCAGGGTGAGGAGAGACTGCAGCGCTCTCACGCTGGGCAAGGAGGGCGAGAAAGGGGGGCGGGGCCACCCTCCGGAGGCGGGGGGAGCCGTGGCTCAGTGGTAGAGCATCTGCCTGAAATGCAGAAGGTCCCAGGTTCAATCCCTGGCATCTCCAGTTATAGGACTAGGCAGGGGGTAATGTGAAAGACCTCTGTCTGAGATCTTGGAAAGCTGCTGCCAGTCTGAGTAGACGATACTGACTTTGATGGACCAATGGTCTGATTCAGTATAAGGCAGCTTGCATGTGTTTACATGTGCGTTTGTGTAAATGTGATAAATTCAGCTTGCCGGACATGCGCACTCTGAAATAATGAGTTTGAAGCATTGTGATTTTGCTTATCAACAGCAGAACTTCTTTCTAGCAGTGTTAAGAATGTGATAAATTCAGCTTGCCGGACATGCCCACTCTGAAATTTGCAGCATCTGTAGTTCTAAAGCAAATGTATCTCAGGATCTCTCAACAGCCAGGGTGTAACTGACTGATGCTAACAGTCCTCGAATATGCAGACTTGCTTAAAATCATAATTGCAGGATTGTTCCAAGCTTTAGCACTCCCTGCAAGAATCCAAGCAACCAACAGCTGTTTGGTGGACCACTGGAACCTCACCACTGGATGTGATCATCTGCCTTATGTTCATCCCTGTTATAAAACAGTTGGGGGCAGACTCTGGGGGTGCACGCACACATATTGTCTCTGGTTGTACCTTTTCCGAATTCTGAGCTCAGAACAAAATGGCTGGAATAATGAGTTTGAAGCATTGTGATTTTGCTTATCAACAGCAGAACTTCTTTCTAGCAATGCTAAGTTCACACATGTTAGGAAGAACTTCCTGACAGTTAGAGTGGTTCCTCAGTGGAGCAGGCTTCCTCGAGAGGTGGTGGGCTCGCCTTCTTTTGAGGTTTTCAAACAGAGGCTAGAGGGCCATCTGACAGCCATGCTGACTCTGTGAACTTGTGCAGATCATGAGAGGGAAGGCAGGAAGTGCTTAGTTCTCATGGCCCTTTCTTACATGCCGATCACCACTTTGTGGTTCAGAAGCCATTTTTCTCCAGATCAGTTTGGCCAGGGATCCTGGAGGTTTTTCGTCATCTTCTGGGCGTTGAACGGGGGTCGCTGGTGGTGTGGAGGAGGAGATATTTGTGAATTTCCTGCATTGTTCAGGGCGTTGGACTAGATGACCCTGGAGGTCCCTTCCCACTCTGTGATTCTAATAACATGTTGACTGTGCTAGTGAACATAGACACTAGAATTAGGAGGTTAACACCCTGAGACAGAAAAATTCATCAGTCAGGAATGTGCCTTTACATGAACAAATCAAAAAGCTGCCTGCCGTGAATGAGCCTCTCTTGCCTTGACAGCAAGAGAGAGAGAGAGAGAGAACCAGCACTGAGGGAGGGGGCTAGGCTAAAACCATTCTCTTCCTTTTGTGCTTGTTTTGCACTCAAAGGCAGGTTCTTGCTATATGTATTCTATACACGTGCCTCTTCCCCCCTGCCCCCGACACGTACCTGCAGTGGTGCAGGTCGAGGCCCTGGGATTCTGCAGTCTTATTCCATCCAGTGGACCACACCTTCAGCATCAAGTGCTGATTTTCACATGTGGACGAGCCATCAAGGATTAGCCCTCACATATGAAGTATGGCAGGCGGAAGTGTCACATTGCCCGTTGTCAACACTTCCATGGCAATGCTTCACACATTCAGCTCATAAGCATCAAGAGTTGTGCATGATGCATGTCTGACCTAGCCTTAATGGTGTCCTTATCTTCTCCCATTAGGTGATGAGCATCCCAGAAACAAATGACCAGGTGGACTCCCGCTACTTTGGCGAACTCCTTGCAGAGTTGAACCGCAAAAGCAACGATCTTTACAGCTGTTTGCTCCAGCATGTTGAAAAGCTAGGAGGAAGGTACCTACGTCTGCCACTTGGAATGCTGGGAATGTCTTACAGATTTTCCAGTTGATTGGTTTGAGCAGCATTCTGCCGCTGGATTCTGTGAGCAGTAATTTAACAAGTTTATTGGGAAATGGTGCTCTTTTAGCTGAATGCAGTTGACAAAATATCTTGAATCCTGCATTCTAGAGCCTCACTACCCACTTCAGGAACCAACCAGTTTGAGTTCCACAATGGAAGTATATTGGGGGGGGGGGATTAGAGAATATAACTGAGGAAGAAACAGGGCTCTTAAAGCACCTACTTTGCATGTATCCAGAGTCCATCTGCAGCATCTCCAATTAAACAATCTCAAAAAGGCTGTGGTCAGATGTGCCTTTAAATCCAACTCAGCGAGAATGCCTTATGGATCTAAAGGGCATGATCAGACAGCGACATCTGGGAAAGGTCCTGCAGCCATCAGCACCCCGTGCTGCCCTGCCATGGAAGCGGAGTTAAAAGACACTGGGGAAAGTCCAGTCTTAATGCTTGCCAACGGGCTATGGACGGACTTTCCCCTGTCTGATCGCTCAAGCACGCTCTCATGCCATCGGGATGGTCTACTCATTCCATCCCGACTTGGTGCCTTTTTAAAAAAACTTGCTTAGCAGTATGCGCATAACCGCATACTCCATGGGGAACCCTCAGTGTGGGGGTGCGATTCCACATTTATGCGCATGAGAAACAAAAGGCAAAAAAAACCCAACGACTCAGCCATATGCTATCTGATTGGGCAGTGAAAGGCTGAGCCGGCAGCTACAAAGGATGTGTGCTCGCGCAACGCTGTGTCAATTTCAGCTGGGGAAAATAGGCTTACTTCCCCTCCACACTGAATGGTACATCTAACTGTGGCCCAAGAGACCTTTCTAAGCCCAAGACGGTAGAAAGTTTGCAGTGAGCTAGATATAAGGCAGGTACATTGGAGGCCTTACTTGAGCGTTGTTGTTGGTGGTGGAATGTGTGTGTGGATAGGGGGTCCACCCTTGTATGTGTTTTGTCTTGCTTGATGTACTGATAACAATTTCAGAAACCATTTTTTAAAAAAGCCGTTTGTACTTCATGCAAGGAGGATTGAGATTAACGTGTTACAAATGTATGAGTAGATAGTAATTTCGCTGATATGAAGATATTCTGTTGAGCTGACATTTTCATGTACTGTTTTTACAGGAGATATGAAATTGAATCTTATACTGAAGTAAGTATGTCAGACATTTCCAGTATTTTTTCTGAGCTGTGGTTTCAGGCCATTGAAACCTTTCCACTGATACGGTGCAGACAGAACAATTTAGCCATGATTTACTGTGTTAATCTGGTTGACGATCCCAAATGTACATTCAAAACCGTGGTTGTAAGGCGTCCATTATTTAAGCCCACTCCTGGTGGGTGTTCATAGGGAGATTAGCAGCCTAAATAGTCCATCTTAACCCGAGGCTGAGTTCAGACGGACAGTTTGCCCCGATATAGGCGCATGTGAGGAACGTTCCACAACCAGATTAAATGGGCTGTTCACACAGGCACATCTGTCCTGCATTCCCCACCCATACTCAACCGGTCTTGTAACGCTTCGCTCCCGAGTTTAAAATATACCTGGTGAAAGTGGTAGCAAGCCCTGGAAAGTGCGATTTCCTGGAAACCCTGGAAAGTGCACCAACAAAGTGTGAACGCCAAAGCCGCATTTTGCTTATGCAGTCATGCGCATAAGCGCATATCTCCAGATTACAAAAAAAGCCGCGCCTTACAACCGTGCCTCCGGGCCAACAGTGTGAATGCTCCCTTGCGCCTCCTCCCAGTATGCTCCCGCATCAGTCGCTGCAGTGTGAAAAGTGTTCCGAGTCTTTTTTGCCACGTCTCCCTCCCGCTTCAAACTGTCCGTCTGAACTCAACCTGAGTTTGTCACATCAGCTAAGCAGGGTCAGCTGTGGTCAGCACTTGGATGGGAAACTACCAAGGAAGATGAGGGTTGCTG